GAAGCAAAGACGCCACACGAGAGAGAGCCACTGGTGAGGATCGGGGCAGTGCACAAGCCGGCCCCCTAGCCGCGACCACCTGCGGCCACTCCACCTGGCCGTTTGCGGCAGCCTCGACTAAAACTAGAAAGACTAACATTTATTCTACTAGCCATCTCTTATAACAGATGTCTTTAAGGAGAAACCAGGTAACAAGCAGTTAGTGGCAACTGGCAAAGATCAGTGTCTAGCATTATCCCTGATTTTACCTTTGGCAATGTTACTGTTTTATGTTTAGATTTGCTTTCCCCCTACGGCAACCATGTTAATTTATGACCTCCATAAGGCTCTGTCATTAACAGCCCAGCTCACGTATTGCAAACTAAAGGTTGTGGTTCCATTGTTGGGTCGCTGGGCCCGACAGAGGGAGAGGAGGAGGAGGGGGGGAGACATGTTCTCTTCCTCAGACGGGGCCAAGACACACCGACAGGGAAATGCGCACAGACACCAAGTTGCTCTGAGAGAGGCAGCCCCTGCTCGCCCGCCTTCCAGCCACCGCCCAGCGTTTTCCTGCAAACTTGGCATTGCCCCAGAAACAAGAGCACTTGCTCAAGACAAGTACTGGATCTGGTGCAACCTGTTCCCTGTGGAGAGGAAACTCTGGGATGTCTAGGGAGGCCCCCAGAAGGGTTTGGGGGCTCTTTTTTTGGGGGGGAGACAAACCCTGGAGACCCTACCCAGAAGAGGGAGTGGGTGGGTGGGTGGTTGCGCCCGCTTTGAGACGGAAGGCGTGGCCTTGAAGCCCCAGCCAGGTGCGTAACCCCCTGGGTGATCGCGGGCCTCTCTTTCATCCCAACCCACCTCACAGGGTTGTTGTGAGGGTGGCGTGGAGAAGGAGGGGAGGAAGAGAGAGGGAGGGGAAAAAAAGAGAGAGAGAGAGAGAGCGCCCTGCAAGGGCTGCCTGGCGCTCCTTGGTGACTCTTCCAGGTCGACACCAGAAAGCAGCAGAGAACTGGATGGGCAGAGGGAGAAAAGAGCGAAGCAGCCAGAGGGCGAACGGATGGCCGGCACCGATGGCTGCAGATGCCCAAAGACCACCAGGCTCCTGGTGCAGTTACGGAGGGACCAGCGGGCGGGCGGGCAAGGGCTACAACCCGCCCCATCTGGCAGCCTGGCCTCCTCCGTCTTCCCCTTTCAGAAACAGTGCAGCCTCTCTGCTGCCTCCTGGGGGCAAATCCTGGCAAGGGCAGCCCCAGCTCATCCTTGCCTGCTTGCTGCCCCTTTGCCCACTGGGTCCTCAAGTCTGGATCCAAGCCACCGGCATCTTACCTCGGCGCAGGGGAGAAACAGAGCGCCTTTGGTAGGAAGCCCGCTGGCTTTATCTGGTCAGCTGGAGCTATGGAGGCCGAACAGCATCGTCCGTCGGTAGGACGTCTGCTTCTCCCTCCCTGCAGGAAGAGACGCCAGGTGTCGGGGGCTCCTTCTCCTTCCATTCTGCTCTTTTCCTCTAGGCCTTTATTCCTCTGTCTTAATATGGTATTTACATTTTGTTTCCCTGCTGTATAAATAACAAATAGCAACAGAAATGGGAAGTTTCTGTACTGATTGAAAAGCAGAGTGCTGTATAGTACACAAGAAAAAAGCAATGTATTTTCCACATAAAAACCATAACCGTCGTGGCTCTGTAACTGAGAATGTGGGAGGGAGGGAGGAAGCTGAGAAAGATGGGTCTCCTGTGTTTTTCATTGTTTTTTGGGGGGAGGGTTATAGTCCCTGTAGTTTCTCGCACCCAAGTGACCTGACCTTCTGCAGCACAAGAGTGTTGTCTTAACCATCCTACATTAAAAACAACATATAGGGAAAGTTTGGATTTATAAGGGCATTCATCAAGTTTACATGATCCTTTGTAGCTGATTGCAATACTGTCATTTTATGCATGCACTCACTCATGTTTATTTGGTATTAATTGAAGTCAGACTAGAAAGGAGTTAACTGCCATGAAGGTGCTTGATTTGAGAAGTGTTTGTTCAATCTTATGGCCACAAAATTTGTTAAAGCCATTAAAGCTCAGACCTGCCCTTGTCTGAAAAAATTATTGAAAGTGACAAAGTTCTGAACATTTTGGATTTTCTCTTTTTTTTCACACAGGTTAACTTCTTACAACCTCGAGTGCTCACTGGAAGGACAGATCATGAAGCTGAGGTTCAATACTTTGGCCATCTCATGAGAAGATAAGACTCCCTGGAAAAGACCCTGATGTTGGGAAAGTGTGACGGCAAGAGGAGAAGGGGACGACAGAGGATGAGCCTGGCGTGCTCTGGTCCATGGGGTCACGAAGAGCCGGACACGAGTAAACGACTAAACAACAACAACTTCTTACACAGTGCAATCCTTAAAAGGGCAGCTTTGATGCATTGGTTACACGTCAGAACTCTATAGGCGGCTCTGTTACTCACACAATGGGTTGTCAAATAAGGGCAAACTCTCATTTCCCGTCTGCCCCCCCCCCACGACCCCTGCACGTCTCTCCCCTTTTTCCATTTGTAAGCACTTTGGGGCAGAGCCTCCTCTGTCTCTCTGCTGCTAAGGAAAATGGAGGGCAGTGATACAAGATTGATTTTGAAAGTTTGGACAAAAAAAAAGAAAGAAAAAGAAAAAGAAAAAGAAAAGAAAACAAGCATCACCCCTTATAAAAGGAGGAAATACGCTTATTGCTGCTGTTGTAGACATGAAACTCCAAACCACACAAACACTTTAACTGGAAAAAAATAATTACTGTACACCCTTCTGGCACAATTGGAGGCACACATTATCCCAAACCCCTAGACCAGCGGGGGGGGGGTTCTTGT